GTGAGACAATACTTTTATATTTGAAACTTCACAGCAAAAACACTGTAAATGTTTGAAAGTTCAACCCTTTTTTACCTACAACATTTTGTTGTGAAGTTTCAAGTGGCAAAATGTTGTTTCACGAAAACAGACTGGTCTCACGGAAACCCAACTATATATATATATATATATATATAGATATAATATTCAACCTTTGACTCAATATAGTTATTTATTTATAACCCAATGAACAAAAAAGAAATGGGTATTATTCATGGAAACGTTAATTTTGGTTTCTATTCAAATATGCATTTACCTTCTTTTCATAATTGATAAACGGGGTAATGTGATTAATGTGGCTTTTGACTGTCGACTGCGATAATATCATAATATTTTAGTGTTACTTTTTCACTAGATTTAGCACTGTATGAAAAATGCGCCAAGGTTGTCCTACCTTAAAGTTGAACGAATTGTTTACTTCTGAAGACGACCAATACTCATACTCCATTTTAACTGAATTCTTTATCTATTGAATTAGCCAGTCGAGAGTAGTCAAGCAATTGATTATGACCAGTTGCTCGAACCACTTTAAACGACATCGCAAATTTCTCTTCCCTACGCTCTTTACATTTATGTATAATTTGCGTTATGATTGTATGAGCTGTTAATTTACTATTACATTTCCGCAATCGAAAAATCAACAAAAAATTGAAAAAGTCTTGAATTTTTTCTTACAATCCCACCTTGCCTTCCCTTGAAATCCTCATCCTCTCCATTTTTCTTACTCTTGCTCACCGTATCATCGTTATCACCAAGTCTCCATCGTCTTTGATTTGGTTTCTATTCATCAGCCTTTTTATGCCTATTCTTTTTTCTCTTAACTTTTTTCTTAATAATATTACTGTCTTTCAAGAATTTTTTTTATAAAGATGGGTGGTGTTGGTCTTGCTTGTTTTAATTGTGGACGTACAAATATCTGTTTTTATTTTAGGGTATGACTTAATGTTTGATCATTAAATAACTAGATTTTAATTATCAAAGGGCCTTTGACTTAGCGATATGTGAGTCATTGGCTTCCTAGGAGGTCAAAGATTCAAACCTCATCAAAGATGAGAAGGATGTGTGAATTTATTTTTCTATTTGTCGTATATATATATATATATATTATAAAAAAATAGATATAAATTTCAAATTCAAGATATTATTTAATTTGTTGTTGCTTAATCTACATATTTTGCCATTGGCCCACAAGGTTTGTGACTTTGATGGACGTTGTTGATTGATGATAAACATGAAGCAACCTAAATTTGCTTTTGATTTATTCAAATATTTGATTATGAAGGTTAAAAATAATGGAGAGTTTTAATTATAGCATGATTTACCAATTTGCCCTTTTCATCATCAAAATTTGATTGGCACATATAACTTATTATCTAATTGAAATGTATATATATAATTACGTAGTAAACTCATTACTCGGTAATATATATATATATATATATATAGGGGTCTAATCAAATGAGAATAATTAGTTTGTGATAACCGTAAGGTCCAATCTCAACCATAAATCAATAGATAAATTAGGAAATTTATAATTTTGGTAATTTTGAATGAAAATTTAATGGAAGGACATTTTAGGTATTTTAAAACTTTCCTCTCTCCTCTCTCCGTCCCCCGTCCTCCGATGATACTACAATGATATCACAATGCATCATATATGTGCTTGGGTATCACACTGATGTCATTTGTGTGGTCGATCGGAGATGTAACACAGTGGTACCCCAATTGGTACTACATTGGGTATCACATTGCATCTTGTATGTATTCTGGGTATCACAACGTGGATGATCGGTATGTATTCCTTAAATTTAGATTATGGATTTGATTTTGTTTTTAAGGTTTAGGTTGGTATCATAGTTGGTATCACAGTGATACCACAATGGGTATCACATTGTGTATCACAATGATTACTTGGTACCGGTCAGAATAATGTTCATCGGAGGTTGGAGATCTGAGGTCGGAGAGAGGTAAGAGGTGAGAGGTGCCCTCTAATTATAATTTTAACTCAAATTACCAACATTACTAATTTTCTTAATTTATCCATTGATATGTGGTTGAGATTGGATCTCACAGTTGCCACAAACTAATCAGTTCTCCCTTGAATGAGCCCATATATATATAGACTTGGGATCATGTGAGATCAGCCTGTTTTCGTGAGACCCGTGAGACCACATTTTTACACTTGAAACTTCACAGCAAAAACACTATGAAGGTGACTTTGCTGTGAAGGTTAAAAAAGTCACATTCACAGTAATTTGTTGTGAAGTTTCAAGTGTAAAAAGGTAGTCTCACGGGTCTCACGAAAATAAGCTGGTCTCACGTGAACCCAACCATATATATATATATATATATATATATATATATGAGTTCATGTGAGACCAAAAGTTTTACATGAGACCTGTAAGACCAATTTATGTTTATTGATCAACTTTATAAGCTAATGATCTAATGGTCTAAAGTTGTACAGTGACAATTTTGTGATTATTGAGAAGTCTCATGACAATTTTGTGATTATGAATGTTCAGATTGTAGATCTAGTACAAAGATTGAGAATTGGTCTTATGGGTGTCATGAAAAACTCTTCGTCTTACATCATCACAATATATATATATATATATATATATATCAACATTGTTACATTGAAAAAAACATCAATAAGTCTGTTTTATTACGATTTATGATTATATTTTAAGAGCATCTTCAGTAAATTCTCTAAAATAGAGAAAATGAAATATTTTGTTCAAACTGATTTCAATACAACGGTATGAATACGATATCAAGGCAAACCCATGGAAATACCCCTTTATGAAAGAAAAAGACATTATGTAACTTTATCACATTGAAAAAGACTATACTGCATTTTATTTCCCTTTCAAGAACACACATAATTTTTTCTCCTTTTCTTTCAATTTTTTTTTTCCTTTTTCCCTCAAATTCGAGAACAGAACATAAAATAAAATAAAAAAATACAAGAGAAAACTTTGTATTTAAAAATGAGTAAATGAATTAAAATACTATAAAAGTACGGAATCACCCTTTACCTAAATATCACGTGCCACCACTTAACTACGATATTTATGTCAATTTCTTGAGACACATATTCCAAACCTATTCTTTTTTTATGCAAAATAAATTGAAAATAATTTGTAACCACCCTTCACCCTTTTCGCCTCACATGGAGACACCATCATATGGCATTAATATAAACTAAATGATTACCATATTCATTTACCATGTTTACTTTGGCATATACTAATGTAGACTCTAGAACATATCTATACGGTATACATATATACATACAAATAATCTGTATGTAACATGAAAAAACCAGAAAATATCTTCAATTACTTGTATACAAATGCAAACACCATACAAGTGAGTGAGATGATTATTAGAATGTTTCTCTAGTAATGTAATAAGAACATTATATTAGTAATTAAATATTATTTATAAGAAAGAAAAGATAAAAAGTTTATGATACATCGACAACCTTAAGCACAACAAAATATAGAAACGTTAGATGATAAAACATATGATACCACAATCAGCAGCAAATATTTACATGTCGATTTTAAAACTTACGTCTATCTTCCATCTACTTTTCTTAGATGCGTTTGGAACACTTATCCAATCACCTGATACATTTCAAACACATTTTTTTTAATAACCATGAATGTGCAGATCAGCTTGTGCACAATTTTAACTCCCTGATGGCCCTGAGAAATACCTGAACTGGTGACCTATGAGAAAGAGCCCCAAGACTTGATATTTATTTGACAGTTGAGTTGACCCTATATTCCGGGTTCTAACACCATAGATTTCCTAATTAGAAGCAAATGGGGCATTTCATTAGTCCATTTTCATTGCACTCTACACAACTAACTGGAAATGGGGAATCATCGCTATTGTTTACTTCCTCCAGCATAACCTTCCGACTGCCGTTGCATGAAAAGCAGAGCACAAACCGCATCCCGCCACACCCTTTGCAGGGACCACGGGTGGGACTTCTTGGTATCCCATTCACGAGGTTTTTTAGCTTCCCTTGCTCATGGAGCCAGACCACCTCGTCAACCCCTCCAATATGTCTTCCTCTGATGAACAGCCTTGGAGGGATCACCCTGCCGCCTAATGTCCGCCAGAACTCCTCCCTGAATTCCAAGTGCATGGAAACATCCCTCTCGTCATACAAAACCCGGAAGCTCTCTAACAGAAACCTAATAGCGTTGCAATCTTCGAAAGTCTTACGTATACCTCTCAAGCTTGTCGTATAGAGGATGACTGAATCACTTCCTCCTGGCGGACACTTCTCCTCAAATTCTAATAACGACGAATGGTTTCCGATCTTTTCCAAAACCAATACACTCTTCTCCAGATCTTCCAAGCTTACGGGGGCTCTACAGTAATCTTCATCCTTGATGTCACTTGTGACTGTTGGTGTTGGGAAGTATTGACTCAAGGTACTTGCCTGGAAAACTAGACCTTGTTTCACAGTGGTTATGGCTGAAATGGTTTTCGGTTTCCCTAAGAATCGTCCTCTCATTCCTTTCATCTCTTCACATCATCTCTCATCTACTTGAGGTGGGTTTATATCATGGCACAGGGTCAGTGCCGAGGAAAGTCCAAATATTTGTCAAATATCTAAAACACCATTAAAAGAAGTAATAGTATATAAATAACTTTAAAACGAAAACTTAGTGAAGAAAGAGATGTTTTAATTCTGATAGGACCAAGGGAGTAAAAGAAAAGGTGAGAGGTAGAGGTCTTGCCTAGTGGTTGTCTTTGGTGGATGGTAAGGTTTCAATCTTTGGTTGGATACACCAATCCTGTTATAGTAGGCTTAGCTATAATCAACCAATAGTGATAGCACACGTCAGTTGGATGTGGGCATAAGGGTAATTTCGAAGATAGAGTGTGTGGTCAGTGAAATGACCAAAAAGACCTTGAAGATCAATCAAAACTAGACCAAACATTTGGCAATAATGGAGATGGTGAACCAGATTAGGCTAAAACAATGGGAGACAAGGTGTGGCACCACTCATAATTCAGTCACAAGGGGGGCTTCTAGCAAAAGAATAAAAGCAGCTTCTTTTACCCTTTTTCATCAACTAGACTTTTGTGGATATAAAGTAAAAGCAATAGTGGAGGGGTTAAGGACTTATTTGTACAAAGCATGATACCTGTTTCTGAACCTTTCAGCTTCTCATAACTACCCCACTGGACCATGATGCCCAATTCTTGATTAGGATACTCATGGACCAGACCTGTACACAAGCTCAGTCAAGACATTATTGAGCACATGTGATTGTCTGTACATAAATAAATGAACACAAAGACGCAGGCAATGCACGGGCACATAACAGTACTTGGATTCGTGTATATGACCCCTATAATGAGTTCTACGATCGGAAATTTTCTCTAAAACACATGCATCGTTATGGATTTAAGATCTAAGAAAAGAACTTTTCACTCAGACATGCATGATGCACCATTGTGAAGCAAAGAAAGTCAAAGGTAACTACATCCAGATAGCCCACAAATCAAGAATCATGACCTGCAAGCAAAGTAATGGCCCTAGTCACTAGTTGAGAGTTTTTGTATATGAGTCAAGACAAAAGTTCTAAGATGTGTGCAATTCGCTGCAAGTGTAGAGTCCCACATCGGCTAGACTTTGACCATTTCTCCGCTATATATGTTAGAGCCTCTCCTCTCTTCAAGGGATCTTTTGGAGAGTAACCTAGCAAAGTTCCACATATTCTCACATGGTATCAAATCCAAAATCTACACCCTAGGGACTTGACACTCCCGGGAAATCCGTACTCGTCTAGCCCCCTCTAGACTATGTTGGATGGGGTGTGTTAGGAGTCCTATATTGGCTAGACATGGAACTATTCTCCTTAATATATGTTGGAACCTCCCTTCCAGTTCCAGTGGCAGATCTAGGAAATTAATGGAGTGGGGGCACGTTGGATGGGACTTGGGTGAGGGAAGCATATGGCCATATGGGACTGGGAGGAAACCATGCAAGACAAGGGTGAAAATAGAAAATTTAAGCTAGTCAACAAAAGTTTTTGGTTTTTGACTGGGAGCCTTTCCCCCCCAGTGCTTAAAGGCTGCATCAGCCCCTGCTCCCTTTTCTCCTCAAGGGCTCTTTTGGAGAGTAACCTAATGGAGTTCCACGTATTCTCATAGCAAGTATGGTTACTTGGTTGCTACGTTACAACTTATGTGGTCGTTTGGTGGGGATGCCTTGAATTCAGGTTTTTTAAGGTCGGGACTCGGATGTGCCCAAGTCTGATAATAAGGACCCCAAGAGGTAAGGTCACAAACCAAAATTTGGTTTCTAGGGTATAGGTGAAAAAAATACACAACAATGTACAGATTATAAGGACCCCAAGAGGTAAGGTCACATCAAGACTTTCTTGGCTTCAAGAACAGTAGTGTCACCATCACCTAGAGCCCTTTTTGCTCGGACCTAATAAACATGGAGATAAGAAGATAGAATAACATGGGAAAGCATCGATTTTTTATGTACAAACATAGGACTTAGTAACCAGTATCACCGGTTATTACAGTCAAACCATTAAAGGTAGTACAAAACCAAATGCGAGATGGTGTATGTTATACAGAGCTGTAAACAGAAGGGAACATGAGATAATCTAGTATAGCTGTTATTGATAGATTGGTCGAGAAAACAGATTTCAAGCACTTAACTGGCAGCCACTGCCTCCTCGGAGTTATACCAGCCAATGCTGAAATCAAACGTGATGCATGTCAACTCATTTTTGTCACCATCTTTCATCTTCATTGTGAGTGTATATGAACCCTGAATTTGTCAAACAATGCTCGTCAGTTCTACGGAAAAGCGAAAACAAAATGGATGTGTGGCAATTATTGTGTTGATATCAGTGGCTTTTTTGTATTCAAAAGGTCATTTGACCAAAGAGAACTCGGGGGTTTGTTTACACTACCTTTTCTTTCTTCCTATAACTACTCTTAATGTTTCTTTTGAAACAGATGATATAATGGACACTGGCTCCTATAATGTCTGATAAGGAAATAAATGCAAATATGAAGATCAACATGCATATCTATGCTTTATTTCTCTCGAACACACACACATGCTTGCAGGCACACACACCTATTCGTTGGTTGAAGATTGTTATCCATGGCACTCACCTGTTGATCTTATTCATTAAATAAAGTCTGTGACAAGGTTTTAAGTCATCCTAACCATCACCCACAAATAGAGCTCAGTCTTTACTCGTTGAACAATGATCCAGGAACTATGAAACTATGATATCAGCATGACGCTATGTGGTACGACTTGTACTAAATACCACTGATTAAGAGACTTTGGCCCTTGTGATTATCAAGTTTGTTTTAATGAAATCATATTTCATGAATGCAAATAAAACATATGAAGTTACCCAAAAAAGGTGCGTCTTTTAATGTCATCAACCCAGACTAAGGAATGACTTGCCACATATTGCAATCAGGACCCTTTATTGAATAGAAGCCATCATCTCTCTTGCCAACTTGGTGGGTCAAGTCCAAGAATCAAAAATCAGGCCCAAAGAGAAAACGCCATAAACAATCCAATCGAATCTGATCCCTGTTTGAGTCATTTTCAAACCTCTAAATAATCCCTGAGCTAACCAGGACAAATCCCTGGCCTAACGGGTTGCCATGGTTGCCCATTGGCAGTTTCGCATGCACCATCATCACTGCCTTCCTTCATCATTGCCACTTCACAGGCCTATAGCTCCCTCTATTGCCCAAAATCGAATGCAACACAGAATAATATCATATTTGTGATTCAATTTTAGTCGTGATTTCAGCAGAAAAGGCAAACACCCAAACGAGAATTAATCTTTTTTTTGGGGAGGGGTTGCAAATCACTGGTGATGGGCCGCCTTACCTCTCAACTTCATCAAATGCAGTTGTCTACAATGCAGAAATAGTTACAATATACTTAAATTGAGGGTACCGATTACGATATTTAGCAAGTATCCTGTTAGTTCATGTTAACCCCGTTAAGGAACCACCATTTGGCCAACCACACTGTTCGATTGTTCGTTAACACACACTTTATAACTACAATAATCCTAAATACTATTGACTTGCTGATTAACAAGTCATCTCTTTAGGCACTATATTATCATAAAGAAACAAATGCCACCATCAAACAAAATTAATAATGAAAACAATATGGTTTGACAGGAACTTGTTTGAACAAGGGTTGTTGCCAAAACCATGGATATAGATACAAACAACAGTTTTGGAAAATAACAGGTGGAAAAGACACTTACAGGCGGAGTTACTGAAGGCAAGGCTTGGGAGTGAGAGATCGCAAAGTCACCACAAGAAACAGGGCATTCTGTCTTCGTGCAGAGGTCACTGGTCTCGCTATAGACACCAAAAAAGTAGTATGAAACATCAATCTGAAGACTCCCTCCAACGATGGGTGTATCTGCACGGCAAGAACATTCACCATAAATCTGATGGAGCAGCACAAAAGTGTAACATGTTACAAGCTAAATTGATTTTAGATGCACATTCAAATCCCTGCCAGTCTAAAAGATGAACACAATGAGTTCACATGTTGGTCAATGCAAATTCCCTCAGCAGGAATCCTGCATCTTCCAAGTACAGTTTTTTTTTTTTCCTTTTCAAATTGCATGTGGATCTCAAAGGCTAGATGTAAACACCAAAAAGTAATCCCAAAAACGTTCTAAACTGGAGACATGTGTACAAATCCTAGACCTCACACTTAAAGCAAAAGGTAACAATTATCACTTCCCCTTTACGCTCTAAGTTAGATCTGGCCACCAGGAACCCTTTGAAATTAATATCCACCCAATCACCAATCCCCTATGAAGTGCTCATGCAATACTGTTACAAGAAAATTGAATCTCTTGCAAAAGAAGGAGCTTCAGATTTGGTGTGTGTTGAGCAGATGCTTAAGCACTCCAATAGAGCAAAATCACAAGAGTATTCCAGGGTGACATAACATTTAGAAGAGAAGTCTTCCTTGAATTTCTGTGTAGGATGTAGAGGAATTTCATCTGAAGTTAGAATCTTGCCTAACTGACATGCCTTTTCCAATCATTTCAGTAACAATGAGCTCTAATGTGCCGTTTATTTCCTTTATTTGTGTCAGGCCTTAGTCGTCAAAATTGTATTAGTGCAATTTGAATGTACAATTCTATTCTATTCTATTCATTGAAGCAAACAATAATGAACCTGAATCCTGTGTGATTTCCTGTTATATTGACCAACCACTTTTGTAGTTTTGTGCTGGCAAATAATTTTTTTTGTGTGTGTGGATAAAGACAAGCAAATAGCTTTGTATTATAGCATTCTATAAAATTTACGTAAGTTGTCTTATTGTAGGATTTAACTGTAGATTTTATTGAGGCAACACTCATTTGTAGTGGATCCATTGTTCATATTTGGCAATGCTGTGTAATGAACAAGTAATAGGACAACATTATGTTGCACAATTAATATAAGTGTATGTTGGTCCATACATCAACAGAATGTTGTAGTGCACACTAAATGCAACCATAGGCAACAACATTTCATTTTCAACCACCAATGCTCCCCTTTGTATGTCAACAAACATTGTATCTAGGAGGATATAGTTGCTAAATTGAAATTAGTATTCCAAATGTTCACACTTTGTAAACTCTAGACATCCCGGAACTTCTGCCAAGCAATGAAGAATTAAATGAGTGAAGTTGGTGATAAAAATGATGCAATGCAACTTTCAGAAGACAGGCAGAATAACATATCTGGGGATATGTCATGTCGCCCTTGCGTATTCAAAAAAAACTAACTGGAGTGCAAACAGTTACTAGTTTCCACTGCAGATGCTATTGTAGTACACGTGGGTTGTGACTTAAGGAGCATGTTCACAAAACAAACCCATAAAAATAGGCTAGAAGTAAATTATAACTTATAAGTGTGGCATAAAAAAAAAGCATACCTTTTACTTTCTAACGAGAGCACTGTTGCATTGAATCTTATAAGAAGATATAATAACCACAAAGCAGAAGACAAGCAGTGATAGGCAAGAAAAGCTATCCTATTGCTAACCAAAACCTAAAGCTTAGTTTTGCTTGCATTATCCTTCAAACTAGGAAGATAGATAAAGTAGAATTTTCTTTTTACCTGTAGAGGCAGTAATAGTGAAGGTGGTCTCTGGGCCTCTTGTTACTGGGTAAGGAGTAATCTCAACTCCACTGACCTTGACGGCATAATCTTTATTCTTTTCTGTACATGCATAGATAACAATACATAAGATCCTCAGTCAATGCACAAGCTACTGGAACAGTAGGCATACTCACAAGAAAGAAGAGGCTCTTTTTAAATCCAGTTCAAACTAGAGAATTTAAATAATATTTTCATAAGCATGTGTCTATGTTGTTACAGCTCAAAATCTGTAATCGTGGTCATTATTGTGATTCGAAATAGCGATCATAGTGATGGTAAAGCAGTGGTATAGCTGTCAAAAATAGCGGTTTGTATAACAATTAGAATTATATATGTGTGCATGTGTGTATGTGCATACATGTATATTTAGGCACCCAAACCAATAGTCCATCTAGTAGTTACTGAAATTACATATTAATGAGTATGTTTCAGCAGCTAAATACGTGCTCCTAACGATTAAAAAGAAATAATCAAAATCTCAAATGACTTTATAGAGTCAAACAAACTAAACTAAGCTTCAAAATTGACATTAATTCAAAAAACTCAGAAGTCGTGAGTTTCAGAAATCTTAACCTAAACCTAAAAGAGCTTGACACTTGGCAAAAAAAAAAGAACCCGACAATTTGATCCCAACACTAAATAGTCCAACTAAAGTAAGAAATCAAGCACAAGAAAAATTGCAGACTTAAGCACCACTTTCGCAACTGAAATTGCGGTCAAAATGTGGAAAATAGCGCCATTATTATCGACACCGCTATTCTCACGAGAACCGGGAACCGCTATGGCACCGCTATAGCGGCGCGATTAACAGCATAGGCAAGTGTCAATTCCTTTTCTTGAGGGTCCTCTCGGGAATTGATCCAGTGGAGACAGAATGGGGTGTGTTTTCAGAGGTTTGAAGCACGTTGTACTAACCACAGTTTCGGGGGTTCAAAAAGAAACCAATCCTCACACAAAGCGGGTTATAAACCATGGAACTTTGTGTCTGGTACTAAGATTGCTTTTAAATAAAATATGTTGAAAATGAGGAAAGTACATGCTCTTTTTGTTATTTCTTTTCTATTTGGGATGGAAACATGTTTCCATATTCTCTCTTTGGAACTGAACCCACATGTGTAAGTCCTAACAAGTCAACCCTTACCATTGGAGCTAAACCCCAAGATAAAGTCACCGACAATACCAACATGAAAAAGGTAATAAGCCTCCATTTTTTTCTTTGTCGAAGTCAACTGACAAAGCTACTAATGAGACCCCTGTTATCTTATTAAGCAACCACATTCATCTACTAAGTCATGCAAGGTAGGGGAAAGGAGCCCCTCCCAATGGGGTAAGTGTACTAAAACCCTGATCTCATTGAATCCTCATCCCACAATTCCACCAAACAAGTAAGCACAACTCAGCCTCCCAGATAAGGTAAGTTCAAATGCCAAATCCCTTAGATGACTCACCATCCCCTGAAATACCCAATCCGGTTCATTTTGACAAGCTTAGCCCCCATGATATTGTGGAATACTACCTTTTACAATAACTGTTTCACGGAGTTCATTACTATATTATGACCTCCATCTGACACACACACACACACACATATATATATATATGTGTGTGTGTGTGTGTGCGTGTGTGTGTGCGTATATGTGTGCGCATGTGTGCTTGTATGTAGTTTATGCAATCTTTTGCATGTTTTAATGACAAAAAAAGATCATTCAGCATAGGGCTAGTTTCCTAAAGTATTGTACTTTCATCATTCAACATGCTTTAGGAGCATAATGAAGACTAGGGTTTGTTTCCTCATTTGATTAAGTAAGATAGTTGAACCTTATACTATATTATTATTGTGAATTTAATGACATGAAGCCCACAAAGCAGAGGAATGTGTTTAATGGCATTAATAATTCAACATAGGGAGAATAAAATATGAGACTCTAGCTTGACTCATTGCCTTTTACATATACATAAATGCAATTGTAGGATCCAGTCATGAGAATCAGTATTTCAGTTTTGCCTCAGTTAAGACCATCCCTTCGTCAAAATTCTAACATAATGAACTTCAGTGCCAGTTCGATGCAAATAATGAATAACCTTTAACAGTTCGACAAGTGAATTCCATATTCATGCTTCTGTAAAACTTTGAAACCCTATTTCTTAGCAAAGTGCGCATGACTTCTACTATTAATGGATTTGCTTCATTGATTACCAATTGCTGCAAGCAAATCACTCCCTAAATCCAACAAGGGATACATGTTGACTTCGAGAAGCCAATTCACAAATCCTAAATCTAAACATTTGCTAGATAACTCAACTTCTGGAAAAACACAAAAAAATTAGTGTAATTACCAGCACTTTGTTAGTTTCTATTCAGCATACTCGCAAATCAATTCATGTGCAGTCCGGAACAAGATTCCCCTTCCTAAAGACGGCGCTAACATGCTTAGAACTGACCTGAGGCATACTAAACTGAACGACAAGCACCACCGTAACTCCATAATCAACAAAACTAATATCAAATTTTCATTTGAAAACCACTAGCGTATAACATCAAAACCAATAAAAATATTATCGGAAGGAGGGAGCACTCCCATGGTCAACCCCCCAAAGATCAAGTTAACGCGAAAACAATAAGGCCCATTTAAAAAACTAAAAAGCACAAAAGTTAACCTCGTTGTGTAAATCAATCGATCATGGACTCAAAATCAAAAACTAAATCTGCAAACCCTAACTTGAGATACTTGGATCATACCTAACTCAAAAAAGAAACTAAACAAACTTACTGCAGTATTTGACATCTATGGCATCAGCAAAAGGTGCGATCAGATAAGCCGAACAAAGTAGCACGACGAACAGCTTGTTTTGAATTCCTGCCATTGGATTCTTCAATCTGAGAGTGTGTGAATAGCAGAGAAGGAAACTTCGAGGGAGACTCTTTATACCAGCGGTTGGTTGGTTCCGCAAACTTCTAACGTGCGTTTGGTACTTGGAACAAGGTGGAACAGGACAGTACAGGACACATTTGTTTCAGGTTTGGTGTGTTTTTAAGTGGAACTAATTGGAACTAACTTGTACACACATGGAACACGGGTGTTCACTTTTTACCCCTGGAACTAAGTGGAACAGACTTTTTTACTAATCTACCCTCCATCGCACTCGCTCCTTCTCCTCCATACTCAGACTACCCTCCATCGCACTCGCTCCTCCATGCTCAGACTGCCTCCATCGCACCCTCATCGTGCATCCTTCCCCATCGGCGACGGCGACGGGAGGTTTGAATCGATTTCCTTCTCCATCTCACCCTCCTTCTCCTTCATCAGGTACACGATTTCCTTCTCCATCGTTATGTTTGAATCGATTTAGGTTTTGCTAGGTTTGAATCGATTTAGGGTTTGCTTTGCTTGAATCGATTTAGGGTTTGTTGGTTGTAATGCTTGAATCGATTTAGGGTTTGAATCGATTTATAGATCTGTTTGCTGTAAAATTGGGTTTTGATCGAAATTTGTCACTGTAAAATTGATTGAAGTTGTATAAAATCGATTTAGGGTTTGAATAATTTAATAATTGATCTAAATCGATTTAGGGTTTGCTGTAAAATTGATTGTCACAGTCGAAATTTGTCACTGTAAATTTGTCACTGTAAAATCGATTTAGGGTTTGAAATTTGTCATTGTAAAATTGGGTTTTGATCATGGTGGTTGGAATTATAGGATTGACTCAGTAGGGGTAAATTGGTCATTTTAACCAGTTCTGTCCAGTCCTATCATGTCTTACCAAACGCTGAACAGCTGTCCTGTCCCGTCCCGTTCTGTCCTGTCATGTCCTGTCTGCGTACCAAACGCATCCTAAAAGATTATTTTTCATCTACTATATTTTACTATTTGGTACCCAATAGTTTGAGTTAGTTGTCATTTATGGCACATAACCTTCTATTAATTACAAAACAGTCCATATCGTTTTTCTTGGTTTATCTCGAGTCTTGACGACTCTTTTAAGTTTTAACCAACCTAAATGACTCGTTTGATCCGTTTTCATTTGAACTATCATACTTGGTTTTGATTTATTTGAATCATAAAATTGTTTGGACAAAATAATAATAAACCAGATATTTCATTTTGTTTTTGTATTTTTTAAACATCGTATGAGTTATCACATTCTAAAACAGACCACGTGAACTGGTATGTTTAAACATGCCAGTTCACTTGATCTGTTTACAGTTTACTTAAGTTTGTTGCATTAGTCAAGTTTCATACTTATGTTCCTAATCTATATATATATTAAAGAAGAAATCACATGTAATGATGTGGATTCTTCTCAAAACAAGAAAATAATTTATCTTTTTTTTTTTCCTTTTCTCAAGCTTTTCCTACATAAATATTTGTTTTTGATTTTTGATATTCACATTTAATATCATTTAATTAGGTTGTTTCAACCTATTCATGTTCCCTCTAATAATTACTCTTTTAACTATCATTATTTCTCTCTATTTGGTTATAAATTTTCATATTCTCTTCATGGTACACCTCTATAATAATCTTTATATTAATCACTCAATTCTTCCTCTCTATTTGGTTATAAATTTTCATCTTCTCTTCATAGTACACCTCTATAATAATCTCTATATTAATCACTCAATTCTTCATTTCTATTCATATATAATTTTGTGGTACACCTCTATGATAATTTCTCTATTAATCACTCAATTCTTCCTCTCGATTCATATATAATTTTGTGGTACACCTCTATGATAATCTCTCAATTCTTTCTCTCTATTCATATATAATTTTGGGGTACACCTCTATGATAATCTCTCAATTATTTCTCTCTATTCATGTATAATTTTGGGGTACACCTCTATGATAATCTCTCTATTAATCTCTCAATTATTCCTCTCTATTCATGTATAATTTTGTGGTATACCTCTATGATAATCTCTCTAGTAATTTCTCAATTTTTCCTCTCTATTCAGTTATAAATTTGTGGATGCGATTTGCATTTTTGGTTATTTGAGATGTCATTCAATAAAACAAATCATGGTATGAGTTTTTGCTTATGTAAGTATAGTATTTCTTTTTTAGTCGGAGACATTCACATCATAGTTGGAATTATGTAGGCATATGGATTTTTTATGTGTAGATAAAGTGGCATATGAATCATTGAAGAAACAGTTTAACATTGTTAATTTCTTTCACATTTTTTTTAATGATTTTGGACCAATTACAAAGTTTGATATGATAAAAGATCGATATATAAAAATTAATATATATATATATATATACATTAAAAAAACAACCAATAATTATAAGGTGGATTCATATATCAAAGATAATATTGATTTTTATTAGTTTAATATATAAATGTGATTATCGACTCATTTAACTAACTTCAATAATTTAAAAATATATATTATCATCGCGCAACGCGCGATATCAAAAACTAGTGTTTAATTAAGCACATATATATTTCCATGCTAACCAAATTTTATCTGATGGCTTATTATCGTTTTACAACTTTTTTGAGGGTAACCGTATTCGGATCAGCTTACACGTACCGATTAAGCCTCGAATGACCACGAATCGTCTGGAGTTATTGCAGGTGAACCTCCATTCAACTATAATTTTTAGATATTATTTTATTAACCTGGATATCCAACCCGCTATACGAGCCGACTAATCCCAGGGCGACCACCTGCTTTGTAGATAGTCCGGAGTCACCGCATTTGAACCTCCGTGGCCACAAGGGGATTTTTATTCTTCCTTGGATTTGAACATGGGATCTCCTGGTACTTTTGACCTTTGGAGCTAAGCTCAAACCAATCAGGCACCACCCTTGTAGTTTAACTTTTAGATATTAATTGTTTTATATAACCGTTTTAGTTTAATATCAGAGCTTAATTTGTGTTCTTAAACGGCGCTGTCTTTCCATTTTTTTTAGGGGATTAGAAAATATCTGCCTCTTATATTATAAGATAAAACATATGTTATAGTTGTGTACAGAAACCCCAACTTTTTATGAAACAGTGTAAAATAAAACAGATATGTCGTATTTTGTAGTGTTAGGAAACTGATTTTATCAGGTATTTATAACTTTTAATATTAATGAAATACTTCTTTCCTGCCAAAAAGATAAAGAGACTAATAGAGACAAAACATTACATGTGGTTGGATGAGTGATTTAATTGCTTGTCATGTTAACAATCTATGATTCCGAATTAACGGAGTGTATGCAATCTCCATATGTCCTTTCAACAATCAACTTCAGTACTTGAAACCAAGGGGATCGTAAACGTTGTTATCTTGCTTTTATTGTAATCGTTTGAATCTAGAAAAGAGTTGGTTGGCTTTAAAGGGAACCACGTTTTAAACAAGATGGTTGTAATTCGTATGGTGTTTTGTTGGAATGAATGAAATTTTAGATTCCATTTGAGGAAATTTGACGGACCAACTTACACGCATCTCGACAATCCCAAGAGCTTTGAAGAATAGCCAGAAAAATTTACAGTTGCCTACAAGACTCGGTCGGTAGCCTCTAAAGAAAATCATCAAACGCCTAAGTTTTATTGACAGTTGATCTAACTCCAGAAAGTTTATTTGAAAAAAAGATAATTAGGTGTTATTTATTTTTTAAGAGGTTTTAAAAGTTGTTAGAAGAATAATTGGTAAACAATCAATTGCATAATGAAATTTGGCTGTGCACAAAAAATGAACGGTGTACCAAATTGTCACCAGTTACACCTCACCTCCTCACATCCCCATCAAACCACCTTCTCATGAATCCAAGAGAATTTATAATCATTGAAATTTGTTTTTATTCTTCACATTATTAATTCAACATTGAGAAGTTGAGAATTTGAGAGAGGGTTTTTTTGACATAACATACTAAAAATTCTAACACTAGGATTTTATGAGAAGAAAAGAGTATTTTCTGAGAAAGGAATCGATGATTTTGTTGTAGAGCTTTGATCGTCTTTTATAGTTGAAGTTTGGAATTGAATGACTGGCACCTTCCAGTTATCTTTCAAAATTTTGAGCTTGAAACCGGCACTTTGCCTTGATGTTGAATAATTGGAATTTGTCTGACAAATTGAATCAATCGTCCTATTTTGTCGTTGTCTTAATGGATCCAACATATCGAATCTGCTTTTGACCATAATGTCTTGACCATAACGTCTATTCTTCATACTTTGCATAAAGCATGACCATAACGTCTATTCTTCATAAAGCAACATCTTTTATAATGACAAAGAGCATTATTATCACCTTGAGCATTATTATCGCCTTGAAATTCAGCTGACCGTATCATAAATCTGCATATTTTTGATAAGATAAAAGATTTGAACAAGATGTTATCGGAAATACCAAAGRGYGTATTTCACGTGTTTTGATAAGATATATTTTGAATAGATACAAAGAATTGCTTGCAAAAGCAATACCCAAACACACTCAACACCTTAAAGATTAAAAATAATCCTCATAAGGGTCTTGACTATCTTGAAATAAATTTTGAGAAGCAGGGACTTGAGACGTAGAACTAGCGGGAGAGCTGCTTGATGGAGAGCTCCGACGTCTAAGTTCTTGAAGAAGTCGCTTGAGTTCTTCTTTTGATTCAGTGGCTAAAATTAGATCAATTTTTTCTTCTTCTTTCTTCTGATTTGAAGTAGATGAGATTGAGGCTGGAACTCCAAAAGTAATTGAATAATAGTCTGAAACTCCTTGAACAGTCATTTTTTGCATTTGATCAGTTGGAAGCTTTTCCCACCATTTTACTCTAGAAATCCTTTGTAGTAATGGAGGGGAAGAACCGGTTGCATCAATAACTTTGAAGGTCCATGATAAAATCCATGGTACTTTGAATATTACCGTAAATTGAAGAAGAAACTCAAAGTCGGTAATTTCTTGAACAAAGATTTCTTGAAATTTTTTGAATCCTTCCATTACTCTTGGAGGAAGGGTTTGAGGAATATTTCCCAAAAATTTGAACCATCTAACAAACCATCTTGGATAAGTGCAATCAAAATTTTTGTCAAAGTACAAAAACCATGAGTGCGTATAACTTCTTAGATACAAGAAATTGTACCATGCGTCTTGATAATCATAATAGTTGTAGGATGGGTACTGGCTAAAATTCTGTAAAGGCTTGCTGTAATAAAGTTGAGATCCCCAATCTTGAGT